TTAGCATTAAGTTCTAGTATTCTATCTAGAAAGAGACTAAAAAGATCAGTTAAGACTTCGATTTGGGCCAACCATAATTCTGAGGTTTGTATTGAGATTTAAAATATACTGATTAGTTCAACTTTTTTCACAATATGGAACAGTGAAACGCAAAGAGCACCTTGTGCTTACGGTTCAGAACCGCCTCAAAGATGAAAGGATCAGTCATATTTATTTTATCCATAAACATCTCATCAGGAAACAATCGTTAACAAGAATTACTAAAAATTTCCTGACCGAAATTCACTTCAAATTGGTTGATACTAAGCAATGTTATCCTCGGGAACCCAACAGAAATCGGGACTGGATAGAAAAGTGTGTTGTCTGGCCTCGAACTGTTGCTAGAACTAAAACAGTTATCAGTGAAATCTCACCTTTTCGTCCTGTGCAAACTCCGGTAAAAACTGCGCCTCCGGTTCAAGCACTAAAGAGTGGCTTTCATGATTGGTCTCGAAAGTGGACACTATAGCCAGCCTACTGAGAAGGAAGTTAACATCGCTAGGAGATTGTATGGAGGACTTTGCTTGCTCAACTGCACTCTCTAAACATGCTCTGTTTAATTGCAAACGTTCTTGCTGCCACGTGAGGATGGATTCCTTGGATTGATGTAAACTGACCAGCTTATCCAGTAGAACTTGCTCTCGGCTATTTATTGCGTCACGAAGCTGTCAGGGAGAAAAAAGCACACTCACATATTCCCGAAACTTCTCCAAAGTTAATATAATGTGCATGTTGTCCATCACGCAGCCTGATATTTGAAAACAAATAACAATATGATCCCTCACCGATGCTTTTATTCTAATATTAGCGGCAGTTTAGCAGTTTAGCATTTATTGTTATTCCAAAGTTAATCATTTTCCGGGAGGTCTACTTATACGTATACTTACTGTATCTAGTTCGAGAGTGGTTCGAATCACTGACTTCCGGCATGTCACTTTGAGTGCATTTCATTCTTTATCTCAGTAACTGCCAGCATCAACCGTTTTTCATTTTTTGATCATTACTCGTAAGTGGTTCTTGTAATACCAGGAAATTTTTGCTGCTTTGATTTCATTCGAACAGATAACAAAGACATGCCTTACTTGTTGAAAAAACTCTTGAATTTCACCATTCCTTTCTTCGCAAGCCTCCTTCATAGAAACACTTGCTCTCATCACTTGACCTTCAGCGGCTTTAATTTTTTCGACTTGAGAGCTAGCTTTGGTGACAAGTGCTTCCATTTGCTGTCGGTACTTTGAAGCAGCTTCAGCTACAGTTACACACTTGTGCCCGCTATGATTAAGGGCGTAACAGTCTCTACAAATAACAAGACCACAATCTTTGTCAAAAAAGCGAAATTGATCGTTATGTTCTGGACAGAAAACAGATACAGTAGCCAGTTGAGGGTTTGCTTTCAGCTCCTCGAGGGAAACAACCCGGTGGTCACGACTTGCTTTGCTGCGTTTATGAAACTGAGCTGCAGTTTTGCAAAAGTTTTCTTTGCAGTCCAAGCAACAGAAAGTCGCGGTGTGTTTCTCATCACAAGCCTCACAATCGTGGGTGCCTGTATGTTCTGTATGTCCAGCCTGCTCTTTGGGTGCTTCCTTCACGATGTCCAATAACGCAAAATTCTTTAACAGACCTTGGACTCCAGTAGGAACTGCGACTGCATGTCTGCATTTGGGACAATCAATGCTGTTACCGTGGAGTAGTCTCTCCAAGCAGCTAGAGCAAAAGCTGTGTCCACAACTCAGAAGCCGAGGACATTTTTTTTCATCATTGTAACCTTCATAACAGATTGAACACTCTGGTCCCTTGAACGCCATTGTCTGAAAAAATCAACATTTTTCACAAATGAATGAAGAGGTAATTATCGTAACAATAAAAAATCGGAAAAAGCGCTCTCTCAAATTTGGCACGTTTTTGTCGACCCTCTTAAGCATTGTTTTCGCTGGCAGTTTTCTTTTCTCATGAAATTCTTTCAGTCTCATAGAGAAACCTTTCTACAAAATTTGTACATTATACTGCTATATTGTTACGCAAAAAGCAACGTCTAAGTTCACTTCTGTTCAAATGGAGTTTTGAAAAATTAAAATAAAATACCATAACAGATGATCAAGAACATATTAAGTCATACCACACAGAACTTACCGGAACAATAGCTAATTCACTGAATATGATGTATATGAAACAATTTACGAACACCTTTAGTAACAATTTTGAATCAAAGTGCAGTCCTAAAGAGATATCACTGTGGTGACCTCCATAACACAGACACCACTCTAATACAGGCACTTTCGTCTGTCCTTACAGTCAGGTCAAGCTACGTCTATTGAAAGAATGCAATTCAATTTTAAGTTTTAAAAGTTTCAACTTTCCGAATTTTAAATGCGGATGCAAAGTTAGCCCGGTTAACACACCCACACACACACGCTAACCAATGTGATAGTTCTCAGTAATAAGTCATAACAGATAGTAAAACGGCTCGTACATTCTGAAAAGCCAGAGGTTTTAAGTACATTCAATACGGCTTGAAGCTTTTCGATTCAAAATCTCTTGTTGTTGTTATTGATGAATTAACTGAACCGAGAACGTTTCGGTGTCGTCACTTAAATCCATCCAACCAGGTAAAGAATACCATTAACGCGTAAAAATGTAAGAAATCATCGCATAATGATCCCATTTACGTGAGCGTAAAGTACCGTAAATACTGATGTAGAGCTTACATGAACGCATTATTTCATCCACAGCTCTAGACTCGACTTGGATTTGCTTGGATTTGGAAATGCCTCAACGAGCTGACCCGGCAGAGCGAGCGATGGCAGAATTAGGTTGAATTAGTCGACTCTACTGCCTTACAATAAACTTTGCGTTGCATTATGTTAATAAAAGAAGTTGCACGTACCTTTTGTAAAGCAAAAGGCTCACCGAAAGTAAGTGTAAGAACCTTTTTGAGCAGTCTTCACCGTCAGCAATTTCGCCTTGTACCTTACCTTGTGCCTTGTTGAGCGGTTGGCCGAGAGGGCTTGGTCCACTAAATTCCAGTTGTCACTCCTTAATTTCTACTTCCGTCTCAGTGCAAGTCTCAGTGGTTTCCAGTCCTCGTTCCTACTTATGATTCAAATCCGCAACGGTCCGAATACCTGTTCACACTACGATATGTACGCTCCACTTTCCGCTCCAGTTACAGAGTGAATCGCACCGAAATCAGCGTTGTTATGTGTGAACAAGAGAGAATAAGCTGTCTTATTCTCTCTTGGTGTGAATAGAAGCCCTATCCGGTATGGTATGAGAAGGTCCATAATAATAACCTATAGTTGCTGACCTCATTATAAGAGGCCTTTCTCAGTACTACGTTGAAAAAATATCGTGTGCCAATCTATATTTTAGAGAGCCGACTCGGTGAAACTCAGAGCTACTTCTCCCGCCAAATACGGCTGCTTTACATTCACTGCAATACAAAATCCCTGCTTCACTACGCCACAAAATCTCAGAAATTATCTCGCAAAAAATTCACGGTATCTCTAATAATAGTTTTATAAATTGGTACACTGGAACCTGGTTTATACGGACACCAAGGTGACAGGCCATAGTGTCTGTAGTATTATTACAGCAGGCTCTCAGAAAAAAAAACGTCAGGGCCCAGTTGTTCGAAGGCCGATAAGCGCTTAACCCGGGATTCTCTTTCTTGTGTTCAAAAGCATTTTCTCGGATAATTTTCTCTGTTATTTTTAGAGCTTCCAATCACCAACTTGCAGACAAAAAGAATTTAAACGGAAATGCTTTTTAAGCTTTCAAATCTGAAATTAAATCTCGCACTAACCCTGGGTTATCTTAACCCAGCTTTGAACAACTCGGCCCAGGGTTACATGCTTTATCGATGTGAAGACTAAAGCCGACATCTTTACGCAAAAAGGCTATTTAATTTCTTAACTGTAACTGTAACATGTTTGTCCTAAAGAAATCTCACAATCATTTATCAAAGTCTACTATAGTCCATTACCTTCTAAGAATTTAACGAGGCGTGATCTTAGAAAAAATATGTGGCCTTTTTATCAGGAAAGACTAAACTGTCCGTAATAAATGGGTGTCCATACAGCGGGGTTCCACCGTATAGTATTGCACTCTGCTACGGTAAAAAATAAGTGTAAGTCGAAATTACTACAAACGGCGTGTTACTTTAGTTTTGAAACTTCACAGAAACCCACAACAAAAGCAAATACTGCGGATTTCGTGGCAATTAATCACGTATTTATAACCATGTGCTTACTAAATAATCCTTATGAAATGCTCCGTTGAATCGAATGACAACATGTAGATTGGATCGTTTTGTTTAGATCTACAACCGAGGCAGAGAGTATTGTAACTTGTAAACATTTCTATTGGTTACTGGTAAAAAAATCTACCCAGGACGAGCACATTATTATTATTATTATTATCATTATTATTATTATTATTATTATTATTATTATTATTATTATTATTATTATTATTATTATTATCGAAGCTGAATTTCTGAGTATGGTGTGTAGCGATGTCGAGATCGAACCAGTACTTCAAGACATCTCCGGCGAACATTTAAACAGAGGATCTAACAAAGCTCAGGATGCGAGGTTAGATATCCACGCGCGTGGTTTCTGGGAGCGACATCGTTCAGCATTCTTCGATGTGAGGGTCTGTCACCCTAATGCTGTATCGTATAGGGACCTAGAGCCACAACAAATCTATCGTATCCATGAGAACGAGAAAAAGCGTCTCTACTCAGAGAGAGTCCTGGACATCGAGCATGGAACATTTACACCCTTGGTCTTCACCACAACTGGCGGAATGGGAAAGGAGTGCTTGAAGTATCATAGCCGTTTAGCACAGCTGATTGCCATCAAAAAAGGGGAGCAGTATGCCAAAACCATCTCATGGATCAGAACCAGAACCTCATTCGCACTCTTGAGATCTGCGTTGGTTTGTCTTCGAGGCTCTAGGAC